CCTTTGAACTCCCTCTTTGTACATAGCTATGATGCAGAACATGTGGCGTTGCTAGTAATGGAACTTGCTACACAGGAGCAAGTAAATGAGTAGATGCACATAGAAGTGGTCTGAGCTGGCAGCCTATCCTTACCATCACCGTGCACGACCGGGTTGGTTGAGAATAACACCAGAACTTTCGCTACTGGGAAGGTTCGTGATACGGCTTATTTGAAGCGTCTGCTTAGGGGTTCGCTTGCCGCATCCCCTTGAAAGGTGACTTTGAGGAATAGGGTCTTTCTTTCCACAATGAGTGTGGTGAGTTTCGTTTCTCTGTCCATCCTATTCTTTATGATGAATCGGTCCGGATATCCGTTCCCTCGGAGCAGGTCCTAAATTTTCTGGAGCTCAATTTCGATAGTGGCTGCCGAGCATATTTTTCTGGCTCTTTATGTTAAGCAGCGGACTAAGTTACGCTATAAAAAGTTGTTTTTTGCATCCTCGCTATACAGTACTGTAGCCCAGGCTCTAGTGGCTGGAAACCCGGTTGTACCAGAAGCCTTCAGTGATACCACGATCTGCTTTAGCCAAATCGTTGGTTTTACGCTCATATCAGCCAAATCCAAACCCATAGAGATCGTGAATCTGCTCAATAGTTTGTACACTGCGTTTGACGCTCGTATCGCAAAGTTCGACGTCTATAATGTAAAAAGTGTTCTATTGTCACTTTCGTAATTTCTTTTAAATTCCTTTAACGATCGGCGATCTAAATACTTTCAAATATAATGAACGTAATTAAAGCTTCGAAGTGGACAGTGCAATTAGGCCGCTAGAAACCCACCATAATAGTACCGGCCATCTCTCAGTTCACGTCTTCATGCACTTCACACAACTGCTTATTGCCTGTTATTCAGATTTGCGGTCGGACATGGGGCCATATATTGTAAAAAGAGTTAAAATCCGAAAGTATTAATCAAAATGAGTTCAAAAATATCAGTTGATTAGTACGAAAATATGATAGTCGTTGCAGTTAGATCAGCCAGTCAGCACAAAAAAGAATATTTTTCAAGCTCCAGAGATTCACACTTTTCTGGTCTAGACGCATTAGAAACACGAAACTGTAGAAGCAAATATTTCTTGGTCTTTTTATGGGTTAGCTCGGTACACCTCCCATTACAAAGCATTATTTCAGGCGGCCGACCTCTCCGATTGCGATCGGATTTGATTAACTCGATGAAAAGAATTCAGTCAAGCTATGCAATGCTAGTTTTAAATACAGACTTCCTCGACAGCATCCGAAACGTCAGGAAAACAAAAATCTTGTTCCAGTGATTGCATCTTCTTCTGAACTGCTTCCTGGAACTCGCATGTTCACTTCTATTGGCAATCTCTTTGGGCGCGATGCGCTCCGATCAACTCGACGGAGGAAAAAAATTGTCCTTCGAGAGTCGTCTACTTTTGCGCAGATTCGATTTCTGCACATGTGTCTCGACAATAATATGTCACCGAAATGTGTTTGGTACAGACCTCCGGTTAATAGAGAGTTGGCAAGACGCAAAGAATTTAAGCACGGCAGATGGCTTCGCAAGTACCGTCAGAGGATCGGCGAAGAGAAAGCGAAGTGCTTTGAGTTCATGGGCCAGAAGGGTACAA